ACACACGACGACCTGTAGAGGGGGTCATTGTCTTAAATGAAAGAAGAAGTCATATGAATGAGGATTTTCAAGTTTTGTCAGAAAACTTGTGAACGAGGGTTTCAAATTTCATTAGAAAAACTTGTGAGAGAGGTTCAAGTTTCACCCATAAAACTTTCGAGGAGGGGGTTTTCAAGTTTTACCCACAAAACTTGAAGGGATGATTTTTATGATATATATAATACATTTTGATATAGATAGTGAACATCCTTGTAGACATAGGCATAAGGGATTGAATCTCGTTAAATAAATTTGTACGATCTTTTTCTATTTCTTTTATGATATTATTTTAATATGTTTCTCATCATTATTATGTCACTTGAATATTGAATATTGAATATTGACATACGATTCCAATATTCAAGAAATGAAGATAAGAAATATTGCAGAGTAAAAGTATGATTAAAGATGATTGTAACAAGTTGAGGGAAGAATTATTGGAAAAATAATTCAAATTTTCAAATTCAAATATCTAAGATATTATTTAAATCTTAAAAGATACTGATTCTTTTATGATATTATTTGTAATTGAAATGTATTGTATTTATTTTAGAGACTTATTTCCTCTTTTAAGATTATGATGTAAGGTAAATAAATAGACTCTTGAAATGAGAAGAAACATCCAACCTGTAGAGGGGGTCGTCGCCTTAAATGATAGAGGAGATCATATGAAGGAGGGTTTCTAAGCTTCGCCAGAAAACTTGTGAATGAGAGTTTCAAGTTTCGTCAAAAAAATTGTGACAATAGAATTTTCAAGTTTCACCCATAAAACTTGTAAGAAAAAGGTTTTCAACTTTTACCTACAAAATTTGAAGGGAGAATTCAGGATATATGTAATACATTTTGATATAGATAATGAACATACTTGTGAACGTAAACATGAGAGGTTGAACCACGTTAAATAAATTTGTACAAATTTTTTTTATTTCTTTTATAATATTATTTTAATATGTTTTTCATTATTGTAAAAGAAAATAAGATTTTTTGTTCCCAACATTGAGCACCGTGTTTTGATACTCGAAATTGAGAAATGTGTCATAAAATAATGAATTCTGCCATTAAACTATTAGAAATGTTAAGTATAATGAGATAAAAAAAATATTATTATAAATATAATATATATACAAGTATAAATCTATATAACATATATTTACACATAATTTTAACATTAATTTTAAACGAGATTTAATAACATATTATGTGCTACTGTAACTTAAATTTTTTTAATAAGAAATATTGTATTATTATAAAGTATTCACGATCATTATTCTTTTTTAGTGAATGTATATAGCTAGTAGCACAACTTATTCGATATGAAATGAGGGCTTAGGACATCTCTAATGGAAACAACTCATTTGAGTTGTTTCATGCATTGAAAAATGAAAAAAGTAATTTCTAGTGTGCCACTGCCATGTCAGCATTAAGCAACTCAAACACAAATTTACTCCAATGATAAGAAATTTTAAGACATTTAACTTTTAGAATTTTTTTTAACCTCAACGGTCTCTTTTTTCTTCCCAGCCACTCTCTTCCTTTTTCCTCCCCTCACTTTCAATCCCCTCACTCTCATTTTTCCTTTTTCCTTCCCTTACTCTCCAACCTCCGCTTGTGTGTCGTGCTTAATTTGTGGGAAGCGCTGGCGGCCACTTTGGGAAACCCCGCGCTTCCGCCGTCAAACTCCGCGCCTCCGCCGTCAAACCCCGCGCCTCCGCTGTCAAACCCTCGTCGTCTAACCTCGCACCTCTGTCGTCCAACCCCCGCCTCACTCCCGCTCCCCTGATCTCTTCCCCCACCAAAATCTGATAAGGAATGGTTGCTTAAAGAAACAACTCTCTCTTCTTCAAGCAACTCATGTTGCCACGTCACAGTCCTCCAATGACAAGAAATCGGGACTTGAATTGTTTCATGGAACAAGCAACTCCCATTGGAGTTGCTCTTATTACGAGGCACTTAATTTGCTTATCATAATTGTCATATTTAAAGCAGATAATATATCAAGATTACCAAAAATGAACCTTAAAAGAAATTCTAACTGATAATTACCTGAAAAGAGAAAATGATGATGAATCTGGAATATTGGAGTTTTCACTTCCCGAGTGCATATCACTACCGGTATTAGAAAGAGACTTGTATTGGGGTAGGAAATGGATGAATATAGATTCTGCTGTAAACGAAAATGTGATGAACATCTCGATTGATAATAACTTTTGTGCAGTGTAAAACAAAATTTTCAAGTATATATAAATGCAATAAGAGAAAGAAGATGTACTATTGTGCATGAGCGGGGATTTACAAATCAATCAGATTTCCACATTGGAGATTTCGATCCCATTATTGACATCAGCTACCAGCTAGTAATTAGCGTCAGAGAGAATGCAGGAAGAAATTATCATTTCATAGATTCTTTGAAAGGAAAGGGCGAGAAGATTGACTTAGAGACTTGGAAGTTGGAAAAGAAAGCAAGGAAATTTCGTGGAAACTTCCTCGTGGTGGGCATACAAAAATGCACCAAAAACACTATTGTTATTTTGTGTATTGACGTGCATGCAACAATTGCAGTACAATATCTTATTGGACAAAAACCCGTAACTTCTGTCTTATTGTAACATGCCAAGTGGCAAGTGTACTATTTTTCCGCATAAAATCTGACGACTAACATTTAACACCGTCAGCGTATAAAAAATTAATTAAAAATGCTCAAATCAATATTACTATTTAATAAATTTACGCAAACAAAAAATTATTTTAATTATACCAATAATTAATTGTTAAAATAATTTTTTCTTACAATTTTTTTCAAATACACTCTTCAACGATTGAAATCGGGAGAAATAATCTTTTCCCAGACAGACTTTATAGTATGTATAATTTTTTAACATTGTCCCTCTTCAAATTGATTTTTTTTTTCTCCTTCCATTTCATAACTTTAGCTGCTATTTCTTCTTTCCACGGTGCATCTCCTTCAATGGCTTCCTCGCTGCAAGGCAATACAATGTGTTCCGATAGTTAATTAATTCTAATTTGATTAAATTATATTTTTATTTTTATCTTATTTTTAATTTATTTTGATTTTTTATCTAATAAAATATTTATTTTAATCTTTTATTTTTTATATTTAAATTACATTATTTTTTTAATAATTTTTAAATTTTATGACATAATTTTTAATTTGCTTAAGACATAAAATTTATAATATTAAATTTATTTATATGAAAATTATGAAATATAATTAGTGTTTAAATCTAAAATATATCTAATAGATAACTAAAAAATAATATGAAATAAATTTTTA